GAATGGGACCGATACGAGCGACACCTCATTATAGGTTTGCCTAAAAAGCTCACAACATGGACCTACCTTTGATACACAGGAAACAGAATTTATGCCCACATCCAGGCACAGCCGTGGGAAGTATCATTTTCTGAGCACAAATAGGGCATTCATCGACATCTTCTTCTGCCATTTCAATAGCTATTTAGCTCTGCAACCGGATGAATAATCACTGTAAGTTATTCAGTTCAATCCGCATATGATTAGAGTTTGACTCAACAGTGGAGCAGAAGCAGAGAGCGAGTCAGTCGCTGTCGGAGATTTCCAATCTCCAATAGTTTGATGCGACTCAGAAAATGGGGCCGCAGAGAAGGGAACATGGACAAGATAAGAAGAGCACAACACCTATTCTGGAACACTGAAGCTGAACAAGATGACTAAACATCAAATGTGTCCTCTCCTCCAAAGTGAGCACAAAGTAGTAGTACCCACATCGCGTATCTTAACCGTTCCGACAGAACAGCAGCAAATTCCTAATTCGATAAATTAACCCTTTTCAAAAAATGCAACAGCTTCATCAACAAATCTTGAAGCAAGAATCAAATTCAGGATAAGATGCAATTTCATCTAAGAATACGCCCAAAAGCTGGAAGTCGCTACAGATACAGTCTGACGGCGAATTTGCCAAAAACTCAAATTTTCGAGCGAATTCCGATTGTAAAATACAACCATGCCTGTCACTACCACGCCTTTCGGGGCTCATAAAACCGGGAAGAGCTCGCGACTCCGCCATCTTAGAATTGCACGATTGAGTGATCGTACGCCAGTGCTATAGTTGTGATTAAAAGTGGCTTTCAAGAATGCAGGCACGAGTACACCCTCTCAACTCCAACAGCCCTGTCGCAATATATTTAGTACTGAACATTTATCACCCGAGCAATGGCGTGCTTAGGCCGATGTCAGACTTTGCGAATCGCGCGATTCGCTAGCGTCCGCGGTCGCGTTGCGGTACCAGCCAATTGAGTGATTCACTGGCCGCGACGCGACCGCAGACGCTAGCGAATCGCGCGATTCGCAAAGTCTGACATCGGCCTTACACTGCAATCTCAGGCGCATTCATAGGCGGTCGTCCGCTCGTAACAATCGCACAGCATTGGATGTACCGATGTATCACCCGTGTCCGAGGATTGGACAATCGATACGTATCTAATGCTGCGCGATCGTTACGATCGGACGACCGACTGCGCCCCTAGGATCGCGTGCTCACCTAAGGACATTACCGAATTATCCGTTCGATCAAGTTTGCGGATGGAACAGCTTCGAATCGTTCCAAAACCAGCCCTAACAGAAAAGCATGAACACCAACGACCGAGTCAATGGTTGCATGCTTTCAAATTCAGACTTCCATTTTTGCAAAGGTGTACCGTACAAGTTACCATTTCGACGGCAAGCCTCCACGGTGTCATAAGCAGATGCGCTGTTTCCTTTCGAAATTCAATTCCAGCCCATT